TCGATTACTCCTCCACCGCTTTTTATTGACTGAAACGCCAAATACCAGGCGAACCCCCAACCTGGAGGACCGGGAGACTGAACTTCGTCCGGCCTCTACCCATTGACCTTCGAGACATGGTAAGATCTGGCTTTATAAAGCCATCCTGTGTAGCTCGTTGAGTCACAGAGGTGCACAAGCCATCACACCACGTCAAGGTGTAGTCTCGTCGTGATGCAGCGGCGTTCTTGTTGTCGTTTCTTATCAGATCAGAATGCTTGAAACGGTACGTATGCAGAGTTCGATTGCGTACTGTGTTGACCATAGAGGTTCACCCCCTACTTCAAAATAGATCCAATCCCTGTCCACCTTAAATTTTAGCACTAACATTGTATGCATTGCGAGTTTGGCAGCCATCAGTGAAGTTCGCCTCATTGTATTTCTCTGTTCGATGATGTTCTGGCTGATCACCCTTACCTTGCACCTCGCGTTTTTTTTTATTACACACTTTCGTGATGAACAGCACACGTGTTAAACCGCATAGTCATGGGGACCTGCTGTCCAGTGGTGGAAGCCGGCAAACTAAGCCCCGGGACTTGGAATGGCGAACCACACAAGGCCCCAATAAGTTAGATTAGGTGTGGTACTGAACCGAACGACAGCAAAGCTGCCTACCACCAAAGTAGGGTGGCGGGGCTGGAAACTCGGACCATAGGGTCCAAAGCACGCCGGTGACAGCGACTAAACTACCGCGCCATCACCACCCTGCACCCATACGCCCAAGAGTCTCGAATAGCCCCTGCTGAGGAAGTCCCACTCACTGCTTTCTCGTGGCGAAGGTGTTTTTGCACCAAAGTGAGAGGATGGAAAGCCGATATCCGGGGCTATAACTGGGTTGGTGGACCACCCTTTCGGTTATGACAGTGATCTCCGGTTCGATTGGGAATCGAGGTGTATTGGGCACCGAAGGGCGTATGAACCGATGAAATGGACACTGGCCCCTAATGGATTGCGGTTTTTACACCGCCCTGCTGCCTTACGAGTCAGAATTTGGTAAGCCGAAGGATCCGGTTGTGGATTCCTCAAGAAAAATTAACTTCCCTCAGCTGATCGGTGTTTCTTTCGTGATCAGCAATCGATACCATAGAACCATGCAGTTTTCCTCGGGAACAGAGGGCACTGAGGGAGTTAATCTCTCCACTGATGTGAAGATCTTAGCGGTGTAAGTTTATCCGCCAACCTGTACGAACTGGGATCACCACTTCACAAAATCAGGTGTGTTCAAGGCAATTAGTGGTCAAAACCATAGGTAGTGGGGAGCCGAAGTGTAACTAGCGCGAAAACAACACGGACCGAACCCAACTTAGAGGGTGGAGACAATTGGCATTATTCCTTATTCGAATGAGAGACCAGAAACAAGACCGTCCAATTTACAGATAGCATTGAGAGACCGCTTTCTCTACGCCGGCTATTGGTATTCATATGGCTTTCATGTTACCTCATTCACCTACGTGTTCTCTCATCAGTCCAACCAAGACGTAAATGGAATATTCGTAAGGGAAAGTAAAGAGCGCAAACATTTCTTGGATTGAGGATGGAGACCTAAACTATGGGATACTCCCGTGCTTCACCTTTCACTTTTCCACTGTTCGGCTGGAGTGTGTCAACGATATTTGAGACGATCGAAACACGAAAGCAGAGCAGTAGAAAAGTAGGCGAAGGTTTATGACATTCATGTAAAACAGTGAGAACAATTCTATATTGTATGCGTACATAAGAATTTATGGGTTCTCATGAGAACCGATGTGCATACAAGCACTCAAATGCATATTACAGTGTTCGATTATTTATCAGATCGACATTACTCTGAAAACGTTCTATTTCTTCCAAAACGACTAACCTTTTGTGTTTCCTCAACCTCAGAAACCCTCTAACTATTAATATTAACTATATAGTACGAATGAATTAGTTAACTCAAATCAATTTTGACACAGCACGAGGCAAAAAATTTCCTTAAGCAAATTACCTTGAAAACATCCCCGTAGGTTCCACTTCCGATGGCAGCGAGCACTTTATACTCGTCTTTAGGATCATTATCCTTAACAAACCGCCTAAGGTACTCTAGCTTCGGGTGGTTCATGAAACTGGCGCGGTCTACATCGGTGTTTTATATTTCCCGCGTAACATATATGCCGTGAAGATCGAGAGTTTTATGTCATTTAGAATACGACCATTTATAATTCCACATCCGATTATCACTGTGAAAAATTTGTTTTATTGTGCTGAGTTTTCGCTTTACAAGGTCGGTCCGCCAGGGAATCGGCTTGTGAGAAAAACCGCAGTGCGTCATGGACACCCCTATTCACAAAAAGGTTTGCTATTACTATGATGGTAAGTGCTAATACAGGAGGATAATTATGGGTATTCTGAATTCTCAATGTCTATCTATGGCCATGTGACCCCCATACAAATCCAAAATGGATCTCAACAAAACCTAGAAGTTGTAGTTAACATCTGACCATCGTTCGAGAAGATATGCTTCTTCCTCGTAACTACAATCCATTTTTTGTTGATGAAACGCTGTCTGTTGTTTGCAATAGCTTTTCCGCGTGATGCTTTTAGCTGTTTCTTAGACGATTATAATTTGATCATACCTTGGTTCTCTTTGTTTTCTCTCCAGTCCCACGTGCCTATTGTCGTTAATTTATCGTTTTTGTGTGAATTATCGAAAGCTTTTCTTCTCTACGACGTTTTTGTCTTGAACGCTTGCATCATTTGTTTCCCTTTATTTTATATTTCCGGTTTTGTTAGTTTGTTATGCGCTGCCTGTTTTCTTTCGTATTTTACTTCAGGGGATATTGGAAATTACTACTACGGACAGGGACATCCAATGAAGCCCCATCGCATACGTATGACTCATAATCTGCTTCTGAACTACGGTTTGTATCGCAAGATGGAGGTTTATCGTCCGTCCAAGGCGTACAGTGAAGATATGACCAAGTTTCATAGTGATGAATATGTCAAATTCCTGAAAAATATTCGACCTGACAATATGCACGAATTTAACAAACAAATGCAGCGTTTCAATGTCGGCGAGGACTGTCCTGTCTTCGATGGTTTGTTCGAGTTCTGTCAACTCTCCGCTGGAGGCTCAATCGCGGGTGCTGTTAAACTCAACAAGCAGCAAACGGATATCGCCATCAATTGGGGCGGTGGTTTGCATCATGCCAAAAAGTCGGAAGCTTCCGGGTTCTGCTATATCAATGATATAGTTATCGGGATTCTTGAACTTCTGAAGTATCATCAACGTGTCTTGTATGTCGATATCGATATCCATCACGGAGATGGTGTGGAAGTGAGTCTTTAATTAACAGTAATCACTTGTTCTCAGGAAGCATTTTACACTACTGACCGGGTGATGACGGTCAGCTTTCACAAGTATGGAGAATACTTTCCAGGTACTGGTGACTCCAAGGATATCGGTGCTGGTCGGGGCAAATACTACGCGGTTAATTTTCCTATGCGCGACGGAATGGATGACGACTGTTACGAGCGTTCATTCAAGCCTGTCATTAGAAAAGTAACTTTATTTCTTCTTCATCCTGATTATGTAACAGGTCATGGAATCTTTCCGTCCGGGAGCAGTTGTTCTGCAATGTGGCGCAGATTCTCTAAGTGGTGATCGTTTGGGTTGCTTCAATCTAACTGTTAAAGGACATGGAAGATGCGTTGACTTCATTCGGTCTTTCTCCATTCCTCTGTTACTTGTTGGTGGTAAGTATCCTGAGGGTTTATAGTCTTATTGTATATGATGAATTGCTTCGCCAAAGTTCTTTCTTGACTTAACATTTGTATATAAGATAATTCTGTACTACACTGAATTTTGCAAAAAACAGTCGCGATCTTCTTACTTGGGTATCGAGCCCACGAGCAGACCGCACCTGGACGTAGTGCGATGGCTTGTGCACCTGTAGCACAACGAGCTTACTACTTTTGATCGACTAACTCCTGCGGGAGGATAAGTCAACTTCTTAGATATCTCTAATGATGGCGGCCCATGCATGACGATCGGTAGCAAGATTAACGCAGTGTGAAACCCAGTTCTGGTTCCAGTTACGAA